ATGCCCTTCCTCAGGTGAATGTAAATCTTCCTTTATATGACAGAAACAATGAAAGGGTTATGTTTGGGGCTACTATTAGTTTGCTGCCCCACTTCACTTGTCCTTCCGCTCCTCGAGGTATGTTCACAACAAGACCTTGAGCCGTGTTAACCATCTTTCATCCAGTTTAATTTAAAAAGAAAAATAAAAGTGGACTTTTTGTCAGATTTATTGAGATTCCTTTTGTTCATCCAACCCACTGAGAAGCAAATGCAAAGACCTCAGGGCTTCTCCACCAGGTTGGTATATGCTCAGCTGACTTGAGTTATGAACTCTGTGCAGCAAGCTTGTATCAATGGCCTGTTCTTCACTAGGAGGAGGGAGGTGGACTACAGTCCATGATGGAGGAACCTGCTACTGTTCCCCCCCATACCATAGTAATAGTTTCAATGAACAGAGGAAGCCAATCCATTCCCTACAAATGGTCATTTTCTTCCAGGCCATCCCTGGTCCGCTTTAATCACTGGATGGCAAATTCCCCTTACCCTTTTTTTCCTTTCCTGTGATTCTAATGCTTCGTAATGGAGGAATACATGATCATAAATAGCACACAGAATGCAACACTGTTTACAGTAATAATTACAGAGCATGACAGTGACTGGGTGTGACCCCAGTCTAAATAAGATGTATACATCGGCGACAATGAACAAAGAGTAGGGAAGAAGGAAGCTGGGGCAGAGGGTTACAGCTGAAAAAAATTCAATACAATAGTTTATTGTTAGTATATATCTTATTCACCCCTGGGTATGCAGTTGTAATGAAGGTCAGAGACCCTGTCTAAAGCATGCTCTGTGGAGAGTAGGCTCAGGCTCATAAATGAGACCATCCCACAACAGAACTGTGACACTCAAATATCCTTAGGGAGTAAGTGTGGCTTGTCAGCTGCTTCCTGTGATCTTAAAGGGATGGGATTTGTTTGCCATATTTTCTCCCCTGTTCCTCTCTGGAGTTCTAACCTGTTTCAAACAATAGGCAGTGATTTTTTTTTTACTTTGCCAGCATGGTCTGCCTGATGGGTCCCTTCAATCCCAGAAAATGGCAATGATGTTGTTGTTTTTGTGGGGGGGGGGGGTTGTTTTTTTTAACCATGAACCACATAAAAATTCAAAGTGCTCCCTTGCGTATGACGAGACCTACTTCTGGATTTTGAGAAACCAGAGGAAGAAGTTGATGATGCATCATAGAGGACAAGCACTGTCTAGGTTTAACAGGCATAGGCTCCTAACCGATATTGGTAAAGTGTATCAGGATTGCAGAATTCTGTTAAAGTCAGTTAGTGTTCTTGATGGGCTAGAGCAGGGGCAGGCAAAATAGAGGGCCAGCCATTCTATCTGGCCTGCAGGGCCCCTCCAAAAAATAATTATTACTGGCCTGTGGCTGCCCCTCTGAAAGCTGGTGGGGGGTGGGCTTTTGGAGGTCGTGTGCCATTGGACCGGGTGGGCTCTGTGCCTCCCCCTCCATGGGGTTCCTGGCACTTCATCTGGGAGCCCCATGTGGAGGCCCCGAGCATGATGGTGTGCACCTGGACAGCTGGTAAGTAGGGAGAGGAGCTCCTGCCTGCAGGAGGGGGAGGTGAGGGTGGGGTTTGTGGGTGGGTGTGAGCCCCGCCGCCATAGCACTCAGCCCCCACTGCCAGCAGCAGGCCCTTGGGGTGCTCCTGGCCCGCTGCAGGCTGAGCTCCTCAGTGGCACGTGGCTGAATCCCAGGAGCTGCACATGTTGGCACAGACTCCGCCTGGCCTGGCCCGGCCCACTGGTGCACACCTTTTAAGCCACGCTAAACTGGCTCCATGCACCATTGGGCAGGGCAGGCTTTGCCTCCACGGGCAGCTCCCACCTGTAGTGCTGGGAGCCCCATGTGCTGGCACAGAGCCAGTCCGGTGTGGCTTGAAGGTGCGTGTTGTTGGACTGGGTTGGATCTGGGCTGCCATGTGCTGCTCCCAGGATTCAGCCGGGGCTGCGCACTGCTGGGGGGCTTTGCCTGCCACAAGCCAGGAGCACTGCAAGGGCCTGCAGCTGCTACCGGCAGCAAGGGCTGTGCACTGGAGGGGGGGTACATCCACCCATACACTCCACTCCTACATCCACCCCATCCTACACACACCCACACCCCTTCACAACCCCACCACACCTCCCCTTATACACAATATACAAGAGTAAGACTTTATTTTAAGCTAGTATATAATCACCTCTATATGCACTATGCAAACGCACGTAAATCAGGACAAAAATATTTTTTGAAATAAAATTAAAATATGTTATAGTAGATGTTTGATTTTTAATATACAATTTGGGTTTTTTCTGGTTCCCAAATGGCAATCACCCCCATCCCAAAAGCAGTATTTTCAGGGTGGGGCTTCCAGTGGCAAAGGTCAGGGGCTAGGGATGGGACTTCCAGTCCTAAGATGGTGATCATTGGGCAAGGCTACCCTTGCAGCCCTCCACAGGTCACCAAAAGTCATTAAGCGGTTCTCCAACTGAAATAGTTGCCCACCCCTGGGCTAGAGGTCAGACCTGCCAGCCCATATTGACCTCCAAGGGTATACTGTGAACTGTAGAGAAGCAACACCATGTTTTTGAGGGGGGAAAAGGTAGGGCAGAGATGAAGAACTGGGCTTTTCACAAACCATTTCTTCATGCATGTTGGGAGGAACTGTTCCATCCATTTTAAAATTCTGCTTAATTTGGGAACTAGAAAGCAGGCAAGTTGAAATGGAGAGAGCTTTGTTCCAAGGCAGCCACATGCTCACCTGTTTTGCCCAAAAAGCTGACCAGCTCAGGTAGGAGCGTGAGCAGGTAGCTCCTAAGCCAGCTCTGCTGTCATGCAGCAGGTTGGCCAGCAGGTGGCATCACCATAGGAAGCAATTGTTTCTATTGCCTCGACTGGCATTGAATTGGGCCTTTTTGGAATTTCCTTATTCCACCAGCTGGTAGCTTGGCCTCCACCCGCATTGTACTGATACAGCTAAAAGTATGATGTTAAGCCAGCCTCGCTAAACTAGGATAACCTTGTGTGTGTGGACAGTCCCTTGAAAAACAGCAGATCTAGGACCTCAACCAAATCCATGGCCAGCTCCTTCGAGCTGCAACCTGTGTTTCAAATTACTTCTCTCAGTCTACTCTGTCTTGATATTGTTATCAACTGAGGCAGTGGGAGCTGATAGATTGAGGAAAAGACTGGCAGATGGGACAGCTGGATTATTTTGTCTATGCTTCTGCCAGCTACCATAGTCACCTGCTTATAAGACAAGGTCCTCCGTCCCCCCATTTAACACTGGGAGGGAAAAGCTCCTTGTCTTAGATTTTAGTATGAGGGTGGAGGGGGACTGGTGGCTACTGTGGCTTGGGCTGCCTATCCCTGTCCTCTCTCCCCATTCCCCCCACCCCCATGCTGCTTCTGGACCCTGCCACTTACCCTTGCAGCCTCTTCTCCCTATCTTCCCTCCACCCCCCACACACGCGGCCTCTGCTCCCTCTTGTCTTCTCTGTTTCAGGAGAAGAAATATTGCAGTACGAGTTGTGGCAGAACCAGTGCCTAGCAGTCAGAAAGCTGTGTTAAGCCTCAGAATATGAAAGTTTTGATTCCTTTAGCAGCTCTTTTTAAAAGTAGTTTTGTACGGCCCCTTGCAGTCTGTGGCAGGTGACATCCAAATAGGTTGTATGATGGAACTTTTTGCCCTACAAGTATTTGAACAGTTCCATGGAAATAAGGTTTTACTTTGGGTAGGTATGAGAGAGTTAGGATTTCTTCAGAAACACTCTGGGTGGTCCCTACCTTCTTATGAGCCCTGGGATGCTGCAGTAGCACATTTGAAGTGGCTGTATTCACAGAGTTAGGAAATGTTTACTTTGGATAACTTATTTAAGCATTCCCTAGGAAATGAATTGCCAAAAAATAGAGATCATTAGAAGTGACTGAGTTGAATGGAAGTGAATTATGTGGAAATACTAAGAGCTAGGTAGACCGACTACACCAGAAGCCACCAGGGATATTGTTGACCAGAAGAATCTGATGAATAATGAGTAGCGAGCAGGAATAAGAATAGTTTAACGTGGCATGAAGGAGGCATGGTGAGAAATGTTGGACAGCTGCTGCAAGGTTGTTCCTCATCCCAGCTCCCCTTTAGTGCCCCCATGAGTGCCAGTATGAGCTTTGTTTAAAAATAAATGAATTTTCAGGCCTTTTTGGCTGTGAAGCAAACCTCTCAAATGGGGGCCCTCCCCTGTGCTGCTTTCCAGAGTTTTGCTAAGAGAATAGGCTTCAATGCCCAACAAGAAGAGGAGGGGCCCCCAAGCTGACTTGTTGTGCGTACTTCAGATGAGTGTGGGATTTAACGCTGACATCAGAACAAATCATTTCCCTCTCAACATTTTAGCAGAAATCCCCATGTGTTCTTGGATTGCAGTTGGAGCTTGGGTAGAATAGTACCACCATTCCCACATCACAGCACCCATGTCCAGTTCCCAGTCCACCTGCTGGTCACAGCACTTTTCAGGTTCCAAGAGGGGTAACAAGGGGTTAACAACTTACAGGAGTGATGGACAAGAAAACAGACTGAATAACTAAAAAAATGTCCTGGCAGTGAGATCTAGGCTCAGAATTGCCTCCCAAGAGACATGTCCAAACGGCTGGGATGTGTTCTGATCTAGCCAAAGTACTATGGTGTTTCTGTAGGGAGCAGTCCCTCTGCGTGGGGATGGGCAGGAAGGGGAGGTCCCCTGCCAGTGAGCTCTATTGTAGTAACTGTCAGACCAGGTTTACTGGTATGGTAAACAGAGTTGAACTAGCTAACTCCTGAGCAGCTGGAACAGCAGCCTCACCCTTCCTCCTGGCTAGGCAAGACCAGGCTATGTGATGAACACCTTTGGGCTTTCTTCTCTTGAAAAGGAGCTTGCTTCCTTGATCAGTGAACTCAGGTGACAGTTTCTGACTATGAGCTGCTTTGTCTATCTTGCCAACAGGAAAAGAAGAAGAAAAAGAAACACAAGAGCAAGCAGTCCTCCGATTCCAACAGTTCAAATAGCTCTGACTCGGACAGCGATGGGGCTCAACCAGCCAGCAAGAGGGCCAAGCATTCAGAGAAAGCTAGCAAGTCTCAGAAGAAGAAGAAAAAGAAGAAGCATAAGAAAAAGCACAAAGAGTGAGAGGGTGGTCTCTAGCAAGGGACCTTGGCACGGTGAACTCCCTGTCTCCCTGCTCTAGCTTTCTGGAGTAAGCTGCCAGAAGAGAGCAGAACTCAGTTGATACCTGCTTGTTCTAAGGACAAGGAATTTTGTTCTACTCAAAGCAGTATGCAGTTGTTGATGTTAAAGATGCTGACTTTGAAATTAATTATCCACTATTAAGCTAAAAGTGAGCTGCCATTTTCTCCCACTGAGGGGCTAATGGGTGTGCCTGCCAAAATACATTGATTACACCCATTCATCAGCAACTCTCATCCTGTAGCTTTAAGGTCCTTTAGGTTAGCTGCCAATGGTACACTCAGTTTCTCTGGAACAGCCTTGGACCAGCTGTCAGGAGTATGCATGATATCAGTGCTATATCCAGTTGCCTGTGAATAGATGGAGCTATGCCATTCAGATTTGGTCTCTCCAACCAGTCCCTTCAGAGCATTTGAGGGGGAGCCATTTCACATCCTCTGAGCTGATTGTCTGGTTGTGGAACCTCCTCCCTGCTGATGCTTGCATAGCAGTCACCTCTCTGCATATCAGGCTTTCTCTACACACTGGGATTGTATCATAATAATTGTGCAGTTAGGGCTCCAATTCAGCTACTGATAGAACAACTGCTAGTGTGCACACAGTTTACTGGCATAAATGTCCTTTATATGCTAGAGCTTGTTTCCATTCCCATAGAGAAACGTCGTTCCTTAGACGAGGCACTGGTATAACTGCGCCTGTTCTACAGGGGTTGAACTATCTATATTACTAAGAATGGTATGGCTTTTATGTGAGTCCAGCCCTCAGTGTCATCTCCTCTGCCTGTAAGCAGTGAGATGGTGGCAATCAACTAAATTATGTTGAAGAGAGACTTGCAGTAAATGTTAATTGTGTTGGTACTGTTAGCTATGTACATTATAAAAAATACATAAATCTCTAAACTACTAAGTTGTATGCTATACTGCAGTATTTTGTTTCTCATGATTCACCACAGTCAGCAAAATAAGGGCCCTAGTCTATATATGCAACTTGCACTAATTTAAGAATGGTATAGCTTGGGTTAGTTTAAACTCAAGTCTGATAAACTGAAGGTAAATGGCAGTAGTTTACCATTAAACCAAAGTAAGAGTTAGTTAAACTGGGGCAAAGCCCTGAAGCCAACTCTGCTTTGAATTACTCTTTCTAGCTTGTTCATAGAGATGAGCCACAGGGAAGTGTGAGCTTCTGGATGCCCTTTAAAAATGGATTTATGCTGTCTTGTGCTTCAAGTGCTAAAAAAAAAAAAAAATATACAGCTCATCTGAAGGTCTAACAGAATTCACAAATGTTAAATCAGAAATGGCCATCTGGGTCCTCTAGTGTGATCTTGCATAACGCAGGCCATAAAATTTTATCACAGATGATGAAAGAATGCCTGACTGAGACAGGCAGTGATCTGTCCTCATTTAAAACCTTTTCTGATGCACCTGTTTAACTCTCATTAGAGAGAGAAGCAGTCTTTAAAGCTCTTTAGGAAATTGACTGTAGAATAAGGTAAATGCATAAAATATTGGAAAGTTGGGAGTATGGTGATACAACTAGGTCGGCTAACAGGCTGAAATGGAAACACAGCTTTACAGGACTAGTTGGGCTATAATAATCACTCCTGTCTGAAAGAGCTTTAAGTGTTTTTACCATGCTAAAGGGCCCCTCACCTCCCTGGGGCTTCAGCAAACTTGCACTGTAAGTTGTGTCCTGACATGATTTGTTTGCTTGTTACAATAGTCTGAACTCCCTCAGCTAGGGCAGGGTGTCAGAATTCAGCCCTCAATTAAAAGGAGAGACTGCTGAGAGAGAACTACATCAGCTCTCCAGTGAAGTCAGGAAAACTTCTAATACAATAGAGCCTTATATGCTGACACATGGTGTGATTTCCCTCTTTCCCCCCATCTTGGCAGGAGAATTGTTTTGACAGTTGACCTAAACCAGTGGAGTGGAGGTTATGGGGTGGGGGGCAGCTACTCTAAAATTCCCCATAGCCCCTGCTGCTGGTCCCTCCCTAATCTGGGTGCACACCTTCCCTGCTCATGACTTGCTGCTGCTTGCCCAGCTGGGGCATGACCAAGCAAAGCTGAGGCTTGTCTCAAAGGCAGGGGGAGGCTGGACTGGCTTCTGCCACTTGTTTGCAGCAGCACCATCCCATGCCTCCCCGCTGCAGCTGGGTGAGGGGCAGGAGGGCATAGCCGCTGCTCCCAGTGTCTTCCGCCACCCATCTGGAACGCAGCCTGGCCCAGTCTACCCTGTGGAGATCTGGAGGCATATGCCCACTCCCATGCCCTCCCACACCAATGGCGTGTGGCGGTATGCAGTGGCAGCCCCCCATCCCCAAGTCCTGCTTCCCCCTGCCCCAGCTGGGCAGCTTGTCCTAGCCCCAGCTCCAATCCCTCTCACGCTGTGGAGGCATTGATCTGCCCCCCCACACCACACCCCCCTTCCCTCCCTTTATTTATACATGTCCCATGCCTCACAGATGAGA